ATCATATGTGTTTCTGTATTGCGCTCGATAATACCAGAAGACTTAATTGTTAATTGTCAAAATTAATGATAGAGAATTTCGATGGATTTTCTAATTTATTTCTCATTTACTTATAGTAAAATAATACGTTCTCTAAATTCTTTATAAAAAATGTTCACCACAATATTCCATCTAAAAACATAACATAAATTATTATAGTAAAATTAAGATAAGAAATAAACGTAGTTAAATTTTTATAGTGCTTTTGTTTAAGATATTATTTATAAATTACTAAGTAAATACAAGACGTACTATTATTTTATTATTACTTTTTGGTTTTTTTTTTCTTAAGTTTAAAACCTCTTATGATCAATGTAAATTTTTTTTTAATTCGATAGATTTAATTATAACTCTATGTACATAATTATTTCAAATCATAAATTAAATTTTCAAATTTAATGAGACTGGTTTTATAATTAAAATCTTACGAGTAAAATTTAATTATTTTGCGGTTATAAATTCGAAGCTTATAAAATAAAATTTTATTTAATAAATAACAATAATTCCTTATATTAAAAAATTTATATTTTAATTATTCGACTACGAAAAATGTATTGTTTTAGTCGTATACAAGAATTCCCAGAATAGCTTGAACCAAGAATTCAGTTTAATAAGTAAAATTAGAATTCATTTAAGAATATTAACGGTGATTTCATTAATTATTAGAGTTGGAAGTATTAAGGAATAGTAAAATACTCTCATTGGAAGACCTATTTTTATAAATGTCAAATAATAATAGAATGTCTAATTCAAAATTTAAAAACAAGTATTTATTATTTAAAAAATATATCATGATTATTTACATGATGATTATATACTTTAAACAGTATGGTGAGAAATTTTTTTATATTGCATTTTAAATTAATAATTTAATACCAATTGAAATTAGTTTTTAACTAATTGGATTTTGATTGAACAATCCAAATGACATTCAAATGCAGATAAAACATGAGCAGTGTTGTAGCCTGGTATATGTATTTTAGCTTCGATGCGAAGCGGAGAAGGTATTAATTTTACTATGATGTGTTTTTTTTTTTTTTTTTTTTTTTTTTTT